AAACAAGCATCTAGCAGCTGGGGTAACGAACGATTAAAACGAATGTTTAGATTTATCCACATATTTCAATGTTTTTAAATCAACCATAATTTTTAACTCTTATCAATTAACCTCACATGAGTATTCTTAGAGTGTAGCTGAAAAATTAAATTTAAGTGAATTTATTAAGACCACAGTATTTTTAATTGTACCCTCTTGATCATCACCTGACTTCCAGGGTGGGGCCTCTGGTGGTTAATTTCAGCAAAATTATTGCATATTGTTACGTATCTACTCGTTTGTTAATTTCCGGTATAAATTATTTTGGAGGAATTTCAGCGATACAAGTCCTTTCTTAAATAAAACTAGTTTATTCTTTCTTGATATAAGTTTTTAGTACACAGAATTTCCACAGTCACTTTAAACTTAAAAACCTTTATAACACACGCTATAAATCATAGTGATTCACACACCTTACTTACGGTGCCTACTCTTCGCTTGACTCAATTATCTATCTCTTTAATCGCGCTGGTTTTTATCGCCAGGCATATATACTAAAAAAAGAGGGCGCCTCGAGCCAGAGTTGCCAGGTAAATTCACGATCTTTCGAGAAACTCCAGCGCGCATGCTCCCAGTGTCGCGTGACTTCCGCTGTCGTAACACTGCCCCTTCCTTAGGATTGTTCGTCCCGAACAATAGCCTCTTACATTAAACCAATAGATAATTAACAATAACTTAATTAAATGTACAGAATTTACAAACACAAAATTAAAATTCAACAAAGTCTCTTAATTTTACGGGACGTATCTTCTTCTGTACTGGTCTCCGTCTCATTGGGTTCTGCTTCACGTGGGGTTCATCTGTAACAGTCACATCAGTGGTAGTAACTTCATTAACGGCTTCACTGTTTTCCTTCTCAAAACTGATTTTCTTCTCCAACACCGGCTTTTTCTAGATGACACGTCTTCAGTGGCGTCATTTGTTCCATTATTCACTTCGTTCCAATTGAAATGTCCTGGACCGTGATAATGCCAAAGCCTGTTGGCATGCACCACCTTTGACTTACCTCGCCGACCACATTTTATTCGAAAAGTCACATCTGAGAGACGATCCACTATGTCATATGGGCCTTCCCATGGAGAAGACAACTTAGGAGACTTCCCTTTGGTCTTCCTGGGATTATACAACCACACATTGTCTCTTGGTACAAAGCTAACTTCAGTAGATAATTTATCATAACATAGCTTCATGGAATCAGCAGACGTTTTCAAGTTTGAATGCACTTGATGGTGAATATCATCCATCCTTTCCGATAACACTTTCACGAACTCTGACACATTTTCAGCCAACTCTTCGTAAGGTGGGCGTCCTGTTATCAGATCCACATCAGCTTTGCTGGAGTGTATCCAGTGGCTTCTTGCTCTGCTGTTCTATAGGCCATCAACAGTGGAGGGAGTAAGACATCCCAGTTATCTTGGCGGCTGTTACAAAACTTTGCCAATTCCTGTCAAAGTGTCCAATTGTACTTCTCTACCATCCCATCAGACTGTGGGTGGAGTGGCATTGTCGTGGTCTTTCGTATGCCAAACAAATTGCAGCATTCATGGAACACAGCTGATTCAAAGTTACGGCCTTGATCTGAATGCAGTTCGTATGACATACCAAATCTGAAGAAGAAATCATTAATAGCCGAAGCTACAGTTGTAGCTTCCTGATTTGGTATTGCATATGCCTCAGGCCACTTGGTGAAATAATCCATCACCACACAAATGTGCCTGTTTCCAGTACGAGTTTGGGGCAAAGGACCAGCAATGTCAACAGCTACTCTTTCTATTGGTGCACCAACTTGATATAACTTCATTGGAGCACATCCCTTATGCTTGGGTCCCCTTTTAGCACAACATGTACTGCAGGTCCTGCACCATTCTTCCACATCTTGCCTCATTCTTATCCAGTAAAATCTCTGTCGTAGGTGACTCAATGTCTTCTTAAATCCGAGATGTTATCCTGTTAAACTATCATGGGATTGACGCAGCAAAACTTCCCGTAACTTTCTCGGTATAACCGTTTGCCAGGTCGTCACTTTTCTATCTCTGGACAAAAATACCATTTTCAAGCTTCAACTGGTCCCATTCTGCCCAATAGTTCTTTGTCACAGGGCTTAAGCTAGACACCTTCTCTCAAGCAGGGTGCAAAACACTTGCTTTTAGAAAATCAATTATTGGCTTCAAATCTTGGTCTTTCTCCTGCTCTACTTTAATATCTACACCTGGTTCCACTTCACCATCATCAACTCCTTCAGTCACTTTGAGTTCAGCTTGATGACACCTGGTTAGTCCAACCTCTCTTTTAACACTTACTGGAATTTGGCCTTCATTGTTCACAAACATCATTTTATCAAAATTAATTACACACTTCCTCAGTAGTAAGTTGTCCAACCCTAGTATGCATGGGTCTTCAATGTCAGCCAAGTATACTTTGTGTCTGTTCCTTATGCCCATGAGCTCAATAGTTACCAACACTGGTCCTCACAACCTTGTATAATGTCCTGTCACACCACAGAGCTTCTGTATGGTTTCTGGTACTTCTTTGTGATCTAGCACCTTGATACTCACAAGGGTTTGCTGAGATGCAGAATCTATGACAAAGTTGCACTTTTGGCCATTCAGCTTTCCTGTCACATAGACACTGTGTGTGCTTGCCATTTTACACTTAGCTGTTGGGACTTTCATGATGGGGGTTGGTGGGAGTCCCTCAGCACCAACCACTACTGGTTTCCCCGAGGCTGACTTATTAGTGGTATTCTTCTTACACTGGCTCCTCATATGTCCTTGTACTCCACAGTTCCAACAATCTTTCTGAGTAACAGCCTTTCCTGCCATGGCATCTTCCCTGTGTTGAAGTTGCTGACATTGAGCTCTCTTGTGCCCAGGCTTGTTACAGTGCCAGCAAAGTCCCTCAAGCCTCTCTGAAAGCTGCCCTTTTCTGGCCTTGAATCCTGATGGATGTACCAACCTTGGTACCTCTGTGCTGGACTTAACATAGGGTTAGAATTCACCTATATATGTGGCTGAACACTGTGTACATGTAAGTTCATAGAAAGTGTTTTTAAGTGTGCAGGATTTCTCTAAGCCATTTGTCTCTGCTAAACACTTTTTGGGTTTACATGTATTGCCGTTATTAAAGGCTGAACGAGTGAACTTACATGTACACAGTGTTCGGCCACATATATAGGTGAATCCAATCGTCGAATACACGATCGTTTCAAAGAACACATTCGTGCAACTGGAAATCTTGACAACAAAGAAGCTACCGCTGAACATTACTTAAAAGAACACGGCACAATGAATGGGACACCTTTTACAATCAAAATTTTATAAACTTGTGCCAATTTTCTCGACAGAAAATATAAAGAATCACTTTTGATTCAATCCAGACGCTCTTCCATTTGTTACGTCTCTGGTCGTTGGTTAATTTTCCGTAGAAATTCTTTCCGAAAAACTTCAGCGATACAAGTCCTTCTTAAATAAAACTAGTTTATTCTTTCTCAATACAACTTTGCAATACACTTAATTTCTACAGTCACTTTAACTTAAAACCACGCTATAATTCACAACGATTCACACACTTTACTTATGGCTTGACTCGATTATCCCCATTATCAATTTATCTGCCGGCTTATATACTAAAATAGAGGGCGTCTAGCAAACGCTGGGAGGTTCCCCGATCCTTCTAGAATCTCATCACGTGTTACCAACGTATATATATATACCCTTCTTTAGTATTGTTCGTCCTGAACAATACTCATTTACTCAATTGTCCGTCTCTATCTCTGCCTGTCTGCAATTCAATTAATTATCTCGCTTTATTTGCCTGCTTAAAAAACAGGAATAGAGGGCGTCTAGCAAATACTGGATTATTCGTGATGTTCCCCGATCCTTCTAGATATTCATTACGTGTTACCAGCGTCACGTGACTTCAGCTGTCGTAACACATTAATAGGTACAATGCCTGGCCCCTTTAACATTTTATTATTATTATTAATTTTATCATTATGATTTTATCTATTTTTATTATCATTTTCTCTATTTTTATGATCAACGACCCAAAACTATTCGACTATTCACGTATCACGTACGCTTTTCCGTTATATTGTTGTAGCTGTATTTCGTTTTCGGTTACTGTCATTTAAAATCAGTTTGTTAACCTGTGACGTTAATAGACCCTTGATAAAGGCGTAAGCCGAAACGTCGGGTAGAAGTAATTAAATATTTTTCTGAAGTTGTTTGTGTCTTCAGTAAATAATGATTTCTATCCTTCAGTCAGCACTGAATTAAAAAAACAGTAATATATTGTTATCATAGGTACAAACTAGTTATATCTATATATAGAGAAGACAATGAAGCTTCACTACTTGTAGTCACTTAAATAATGAAACGTTAATGTCCTTACCGTTAAGCCAGGTAGTCCTGGTAGACCAAATTCACCCTTAGGACCCGGTGAGCCCTGTTGATAGTCAAGCCATACATAAATGTAAGCCTAAGTACTGATACGTATGTATTAAACAACTTTACTTAGGACGCATTTCGTGTTTTTTTAAATTATAAAACCAAACGTATATAAGGTCTCTGGCAGATCAACATTTCATAGAATTAGAGTCTGTACAGTTGTATTTAAAACTAACTATTTACAATTTACATTTCGTGTTTTTTTAAATTATAAAACCAAACGTATATAAGGTCTCTGGCAGATCAACATTTCATAGAATTAGAGTCTGTACAGTTGTATTTAAAACTAACTATTTACAATTGCCTTTAACATATAGTTTTCTTATTTGATTTAAATATGTTTCCTATATTTATCTAATTTAAATTTTGGCTATCATGTTCTTAATTTTTGTTTAATCCACCTATCCATCTTTAAATACAAAGCAACTTTAAAAATGAATCACTTACTTGTCTTCCTGGTGGGCCAATTGGTCCAGGTGGTCCTATCGGTCCTGGTAGGCCCTATAATATTAATACAATATGTTTCATTCACACATTATAAACCAAACAGCAGATAACGCATCTAAAACTATCACTCACAGTCTGTAATCAGTTGTGGGAAAGAAGGCAGTCCTGATGATGAATAATAAAGTTAAAATAAATCAAACAGGATATTACAACCACATCACTGGGGGGTGATAAGTAAAGCCATCTCCTAAATTTGGTATTCCAGCTCCCATAATGGTCTGTTACTGATATAAACTGCATCGTAAATTCCAAGATATAGCAATGAAAACATCCCGTATCTCCAGATCAACATGCTGTTCAAATGCGTGATCAATTGTATGTATAACTTAAGTACTCACATTTGACACACATGTGGTAGATACCAGAGATAATATTGGTACGTGATCTCCGCGAAATCTTCTCTAATATTACACACGTACATATCTTGAAATTCACTATGTTTAAGTTTTTAACTAAGAGGTCTACACTAAAAAAATTACACAGTTTTATTACAATTTCTGTAAAATATAAGTAATTTAGACATTATCACAGTATTTAAATAAATATAAAGAAATGTTGCTATTAGGAGAAGAAATTCCATAAATATGGAGAAAAAATTATAGGTGTTTATCATGAATATAAAAACTGATGATATATATAGCTTCTAAACCCCTAAATTACAGCCGTATTACTGTCGTATTACAGCCTGCATGATGAGCCTAATTATTGGGCGAAACGCCTCGTCGATACTGGATATGGCAGATGTAGTGTGGTGGCATATTATAACATATTATTCTTTGCTTTCACTAATGAGTTATTAGAATTAGTAATATGGTTTTTCTCCTGCTGCCATGTGGTTACGTGACCCGCTCCGGGAACAAGAAAATTGGATTCCTGGTTCGCAACTTCTCGTAAATGATGGTGAAGTTAAATTGAAATAAAATAATAATAATTAATAAATAAATGAACAATTAGAATAAATATAAATTAAATAATGTTATATTAATGATTATTACGTAAAAATCTGATTTATAAATAACTTAAATATAATTTATAATGATTAGAATTCACCTGCTTAGCCTAATTCACACCCTAACAGTTGTACACGAAAGTTTATGATATATATAAATAAATAAATCTATCTATCTACCACTACTGTGTCTGTCATGTACATTCCGACCCGATGAAGCATGGTAATGGATAAAAGGCTTCGTCGGCACTGGTTATGGCAGATGTTTTTAAATACTGTCCTTTGCTGTCACTCATGGGTTCTTTATTAATAGAACTATTTCTTATTTTTGTGTTTAAATCTAAGTATCGTGTTTGAATATCAAACACTAAATTCCAGTTCAGCAGGATATGTGATTGTAATGTTGTTATTAATAAACTTTGTAGTTTATAGCAACAAATTCTGTATTTAAGGCTATTTTCATAAACGAACATCCATAGAAATAGTCGAAGATTAAGAAAACATTATGAAAGTAATTAGGATAATAATAACATGTTTGTAAATTTTACGTTTAAAATAGCGAACTTTTCATAAACACAAGGACTTGTTGGTTTGTTTGTTTTTAATTATGCACAAAGCTACACAAGGATTATCTGTGCTCTGCCCACCACGGGTATCGAAACCCGGTTTCTAGCGTTGTAAGTCCGCAGACATACCGCTGTGCCACTGGGGGGCCACAGGGACTAAAAAGATATTTTATATTTTTTAAATAATAAATAGTTTTAAGATTAGGTAATGCAGTTGGTATTCTGATAAATGAACAGGACAGTTGATTTAAAATTCCAAGAGATTTTCGTAAAAAGAGTCATAAAATGAAGAGTGTTTTATATGTGGCTTCTAGATTATATAAAACTATTTTATTGTTGTTTAAATTCTACAATCCATGATCTTAAAATTCAGGATGGCTTTATAACAGCTTTTATTGAACTAATAGTAAGACTGAATTTACAGTCCAGTCAGTGTAGGAGAAAATCGCCAGATCTAAACAAAATTGCACAGAAATGGCGGTTTGCTGTAAATAACCCAAGTCCCCTCCCGAACAACATCTCGAAAATGTAGATGGGGAAAATTTCTAATCTTCATAAATCCAAAATTGCTACTCAATGCTATTTTTGGTCTGCCATTATATCCTAGTCAATATTAGAATAAGAGAATGGATTTTAATATACAGACACATAAAATTTCGCATAAAAAATCTCCCTGGATGAATTTAGAAGGCGGTAGACCAACCAAAGTATTTAAAAATGGCTGCTCTGATATTGAAATTGATGAAGGTGTTTGGCATAAGTGATCTAGGTGTGTATTTATACGGTTTTGGCCATGCTGAAACCAGTTCTGCCAACCACAAATCTACAATGCACCAGTAAAACAATTACAGTGTGTAGACGTTTTCCTTCTGCCGTGTATACGTATTGTGATCGAAAGTAAATAACAATATTCGTCTGAGCTAAGATACTGAATTTCGCAACTTAGGTTTGAGCTATTTATTACATTACTAGTGGTGTTCACGTGTATTTTCTACAGTGGAATGTGACCATATAATATTGATAAGCATAGAAATGCATGTGTGATCCGCACATCTCTCACCCCTATTTTCAATAATGGGTTAATCTTATTTCGCATTCTATAGATAGACTGCATCGTCGCATCCGATTCAACTGGTGAAAACTTCTTAAAATCTGTTTAAAAAATTATTGTCATGGTTGACACGCTAGTTAGTATATGATAAAAATAAAATCGTTTGGAAGTTTTCGGCAAGGATCACGTGGTTTCATGCTTTTTCTCACTCCCTGTTGACAGGTTCCAACATTCGTTTGGTTTTATTAGATTTTTTGTTTATTTTCCACGTGTCAGATTATGGACACTGTGTGATTTAAAGAGAAACAGTGGTGTAACAAAGCAAGTGAACTAAGGTGCAAACAGCATCTACACATGTGCTGGACAAAGTATGCATCCAACATGCCGAGAGAAGTACTGCAACAAGAATATTGTTAGCTGTGTTTTCATGCGAACCCCAACTCATTTATTAACACATTTTTCAGGTCGGAAAGGAGAATGAACACAAAATGTTACGATTTTGTAACGCCAACTAGCTGCAAAATGTATCGGAACCAGAGATGTGACATTTGTGCATGCATTTTCTGGATGGGACACCACATCATGCTGGGAGGGAGTGGGTAGCTCTCCAGAAGTTGACCTGACTTCAATAAACAGGCTGGAATTTTCTCCACTAAAGCGCCTACGGATATCATCATCTGTGTTAGCTAGAAGGTTCACACTTATTTGTATGGAAAGCAGCCTGATGAGGGTTTGGACGCATAGTGTTATATATATCCAGAAGAATTGGGATGGCTTCGAGTGCAGGATTGTCTTGTGCCACGAACGACAGATTTGCCACCAGCTTCAGCTATTCTTCTGGGATCACAAGATGTAACCGCAAAATAGAGTGTGATACACGAAGATGCACTTGCAAAGAGAATGGGTTAGAATGCTCAACTACATGTGGGGAGTGTAGGGGTGTCAGTTGCACAAACTCATTCTTTGTTTCTACACACATGAGTAAGGAACTGGGAGACACAGTAACGACTGAATGGATTCCGTACTAATTAATATTACTATACTATAAACAGCTGTAATTAAGTATGTAGTATTAAACATGGTAAAAAAACATACAATAAGACACCATGATCATTCAAATCGGACTCCTACATATATTCTTGTATTGGGAGATGGACATTGGCGGGGTAATCGGCGGCAGTCTTGAAAATAGTACTTAACTTGGAAATATAGTTGGCTAAAGTCTTTCTAATAGTAATCAGTATGAATATCTATGTGAAATTTTCGGTTCTTATTGGCATCATTTGAACAATTCTCGCTTAAATATTGTACACACATAGCCATATTGACAGAGAATATTGTGCTGAGCCACCATCTTAGATTTATGCAACCTAATTTTAGCTACATTTTTTTATATGTTATTCGGGGAGGATTTGAGGGTTTAGTTACAACAAAACGCAATTCTGTTGCAATTTTGTCTGGGTCAAACCACATACTGACTGAACTATTAACTGGATTCTTAAATAGTTGAGGAATTGTTTATAGATACAAAAATTCTTTTTGAAAGTTTAACGGTTGCAAAAGTGATTTTTTTTTCCAAATTTTTAGAAATATTAGTCTGTTTTTAAAGTGGAACTTTACTATCTTGGCTAAAGTTTAAGAACGAGTCAAAAGTTAGTTTAAACAATTATCCAATAGTTTTCTTTTCATGAAGCGCCCCCCCAGTGGTACAGCGGTATGTCTGCGCTAGAAATTGGGTTTCGATACCCGTGGTGGGCAGAGCCCAGATAGCCCATTGTGTAGCTTTGTGCTTAACTTTAAATAAACATTTCATCAAGAAAAAATTAAATTAAACAATTTCAAGAACACTCCAATAGCTGAGCACTAAATCTGGTTTACAACGCTAAAAACCAGATTTTGATACCGGTAGTGAGCACAGCACAGTAGCTCATTGTGTAGCTTTGTGCTTAACAAAACCAACTGTAAGATAGATTTTATATACGATAGAGAGATAAAGCAAAATTCAGTTTTAGTTTTATACGTAACAAATATACGCTTAAATTGTAATTAGTGAAATAAATTCTGCTAATATTTTTATATTATAAACAAATTAGGTAAAAAAACTTGTTATTAGTTTTAAAAAAATTACTTGCAAACCTGTTAAATTTTCAAAAGTATTGTATCTGTATGCAATTCCGAAAACAAATTAGATAGGAAAGTTTCAACTAATAATATTGTTATAAAAACAAGTTAACTAGGAAAGTTTCAACTAATATTATTGTTATAAAAATAAGTTAACTAGGAAAGTTTCAACTAATAATATTGTTATTAAAAACAAGTTAACTAGGAAAGTTTCAACTAATATTATTGTTATAAAAATAAGTTAACTAGGAAAGTTTCAACTAATATTATTGTTATAAAAATAAGTTAACTAGGAAAGTTTCAACTAATATTATTGTTATTAAAAACAAGTTAACTAGGAAAGTTTCAACTAATATTATTGTTATAAAAACAAGTTTTTGTTCTACATTCCTCTTGATTTTTACCGCATCTCTAGTTTTGAGCTGAAATGGACAAATTGAGAAGAATGTAAAAAGAACATGTGCAGTTAAGTTGTTTTTAAACAGTTTTTAGGCATATTGGTTTTTCAATACTTCGACAGCTTTCGGCGTTGAAACTGTTACTAGTGTTATTAAAACTTGCAAAGCTGTTAAATTTTCAGAAATACCATATTTATATGCAAATACAATTAAATTCAAGTTTATTACTAGTTTGGTTATGAAACAGCTAACCATCCTATTAAACAAAATTTTACATTTATTAGTAAAAAATCAGAGGTGTTGATGATATCATTCATGACGTCTGGATCTTAATCAATAATTTTTCATGAACTAGACATCTTAAAGTAACAAACACTTTTTCATAATACACACATTTGATTTTAGGCCTATATTCTATTTCAATTATAAAATATTTACAGTAAAAAGATATCTATATTCAAAATATAAAAATAACATACTAGCTTCCATACTTATAAACAGGAAAAAAGTAAGATTTTAACGGAAAGTAGGGATGTTGATTATTCGTAGCATTGCTATAAGAAATATCCAAAACAAAATAAATGTTACAATAAAAAGTAAACAAACAAGTAAAGTGATGCTAGTTGGGTAGATTTTAAAACGATTTTCAATCCATACTTTGATTTGCAAATTTGGACTGCTTCATTTAACTATACGAATCACAACAGGTTGTTGCTAACATGTTTTGATTTTTATGAAAATGTGTTTATGAAAAAAGGCATTAAAAATATGAATAACTAGAACATTACTTATTCTATTTCTATGATATATCCTACTGAATTGGAAACAGAAATAAGAAAATATCTGATACACAAATGCATTACTTAGATTGAATAATACCAGTAAGTAGTGTCTCTATTGGAATCAATTTTTTTGATAAATATTGAAATTTTTCTTTCAAAACTTAGGGCGTTCTTTGATTATTAGTGAAATTTCCTTGCCATGCAAACATGTGCTATTTTCTGAGTGTGCGCTTTAACATAATGTTGAGTTGGATTGAATTTAACTGATTTTTTTTATTGTTACTTTTTGTTATTTGCAATGAAACTTTCATCTTTCATTTTTCAAAGTAGCAATTTTTAACTTAAACACCACTGATTTTATTAAGCTCTTCATATAGGTAACTTATTATCATTGGGGCTGGAATGCCAAATTTCTAGAGGTAAGCTTTACTTATCATTCCCAGTGGTCCAGTTGCGCTAACTTGTTTTATTTCATTAAGTTCTGTTAGACCTGGCATGGCCAGGTGGTTAAGACACTC